CCAAAACAAGTTATCTAGTTAATATTCTCGAATGCAAGCAGAGATCAATGGAGCAAAACGTGGACGACGTATGGCGAATAGACTCTTCGCCCCTTTTCATTGACTTCCGAACTGTTATTTGACTTGCGTCTGTGTAGAACTTGGAACAGAGGGATGCTTCCACTGTTAAATTAGGGATTTAATCACGGAACGGTACACTAAGGAATTTTACACTCGAACAAGTTCAAGTTTGTAAATGCAGGGGAGTCACGAGGAGGCAACGTTCTTTACTGTTCAGAATCTACATTCTGTCCAACCCCACACGCTTCGTTGTTTCGCCGAAAACCTTTCGTATCTCAAAATCCCCGAATACCGCGTTATCCCAAAAAAGTATAAAACAGAAAGAAAGCAACAAATCTAAATAAAAATCACATGAACGCACATCTTAACCTATGAACCTCCATAACAGAAACGATTGGATCAAACCCTTTAATCGTGGCACACAAAAATCATGGAAACGTCTCCGTAAAACGTGGTTACTTCGAGCACAATTTTCTCCCGTTACGGCAATTCGCTGATCGCCGGGGATGACGGGAACACAGATTCAATGAACGATCGGAGGCCGACGTCCCTTTGACGCGTGTTCACGCATGGGTAAACAAGTCCTTCTTTTTGGGGCATCGCCGGTGGGCAATCAAGAAGGACGGAGCGAGGGACTATGTGAACGAGAAAGAGAGAAAAAGGCAGAGAAGAGAGGAAAGAGAGAGACGGAGAGGCGAAACAGTTCGGGGGCGTACGGGAACACATACGTTCTATCCAGGAGCAATGTGCCAGCAATTTATGACAAGGTACACGCGCGGACACATACGCCGTAGTATATAAACGGCAACCGTTAGGGGTGTTGGGGTAGGGGGCTGCGAACGTGTGCATGCGAACACACACGGGAGCCCGGTCTTTCGTTACAGTCGTGTCTGTACGAGACGAAACTACGGACCCGTGGGTTTCGCAGGGGCTTGTAGGTGCGGCGCCCTATCCTCCGCCGTAAGGGCGGAGCTCCACGAAGAGAAAATCCTTTGGCCAGCGAAGCTTGGATAATCGCGCCCGGAGCTATAGTCGCGCCTCCTCGCCGGGGCTAACCCACCGGCAGAGAGGAAGATACGCTTTGCTGCAATTGCAGCATGCCCATCCGCGTGGAAATCATAGCCCCGCTGCGGGACTCGAAATTGTCCGGAAACGCTCGGATTCTTCTTTCACGGCCGAGGAGGCAACTTCTTCGGGGATTTGGACGTAAAGAGGTCGGGCCACCCGGTTACCATCGACAAGGATCTCTCGCTTTGTAATTCCACGACCGGCACCCTGGCTCGTTGTTCTCGTTGTCGGGCGCAGGTACCCGCTCGATCCGCACGCGGATCGAAATCGAATCTGCCCCGGAGAACGTTATGACCTTGAAGAGACACGAGCAGTCCGCCGCGAGAGTTGTCGGCTATCAAAGGAACGATCTTGCTTTCTGCAAACGATCCCTCTCCGCCCTTTTATTCTACGATCGACGTACGTTTTACACGTCGCCCCGCTGGAAAGGAATCGTAATTTGGGTTACCGTGCCTCGCCCGCTTGTTAGGAAATCTTCTATTCTCCTATAGGGAAACTTTTATCGTTGTGGATAACATCAGTTACTAGTTCAACAAAGTAAACTGCTTGCTATGGAAGTTTCGATATAACGTATTGATATTTCCAGAAAAATTAGATTAAAGAATTTCTTTTCCCATCATCCTCATTTCCTTCATCGACTCTTCCACTGGGTTATCAAGCACGTACAGATAACGTAAACCTTTGTCCAGGTTTAATAATTATCTTTTTGAGCGAACCGTATTCCCCGATGATTTAAGGGAAGTGCGAGATTTAAAAGAATATTCGTTACGATAAATCTCGTATATCAAGTTCTTGTTTTATTACATAAATTACTCCGCCCTTAGAGGATTTTTATGGACTTCAACACAACGGCCGAAGTCTATTACAAACTGTTACCAATGACTCGAAAACTTGTAGCATTCGGGCACGCCGACTAACGAGGAGACGGGGCAACGAATAAGATCCATCGGTGTCTGGTTGATTGCGGTCGAAGTTGCTCACGCAACGTTCACAGAAAATCCGACAATAATCCCCTTAGGGGTCACAGACCAGCTATGGAAGTACCATATTGTGAAATCTGCCGGAGAGTAGAGATGTTCGAGGTTTGAGGTTCGCAGACTCGTCCGACGGGGGATGGTATTGGATGTCATCGCGAGAGAGATTACGCGCCGCTTTGAAAGAGCCCTCCACCCTCTCCCACCTCGTTGCTTCGCTTCTCTTTCTTCTCCCCACTTTCAACCCTCCTTCTCTCTATACACCCGCGCCCGCATACACAGAGACTCACACTCACCCTCACATACACGTACACGCGCTTCTCGTCTTTCTTCGCGAGAGGTACACCGCTATTTCACCTACACCTTTCCTCGCTGTCGTCCGTTTGCTGAGACGTGCAACACATCCCTCTCGTTTCAACCCTGCTAACCTGCGGTCCAATTCCTCTTTCTCTTTCTCTCTTTTTCTATCTTTCCATCTTTCCTTCTTTCTTGCACCCCCTCGAGGCGGCGGGAAACCCCTGTGGCATTGAAGGGAGCCAGCTTTCATATCCCATTTGCCCCTATTTTTCATAAGCGATATTAGAATCTATCACTGAGACCCGGCAGGCACTCTACTCAAGAGCAGAAGGGATGGAAACGTAGGGCGATGGTACTGGTGCTGGTAGTGGTAGCGGCGGTGATGGCGGTGGGAGGTCGGATACCCTTAAAAAAGATAGAGAGACTCCCGATTATCGGTCGGGTGGGGTACCTCGATCGCTGACGATTATCGATCCCATTCAAGGTACGACGTGAATGGATCCAGGCTCGCGACACCGAAACCCCTTGCCATTCGTATCCCTCCACCCTTCGAGCCCACCTTCTATCTAGCTCGCCCCTCTTTACCCCTTGTACGAGGTAGTGAAAGTCGGGCCGGCGTATATATTACATTAGGAGTCTGATATTTCATTCATCCCGGCTCTGGATACCTCGTTCCTCCGATTGAACGATCTCATTTCGAGAGGCATCGCTGTAACTGCCGCCGCTCGATTCTCGCTGATTTCTCGAGTCCACTGAAGCGATTCGTTTTACAGGCTTCGCGTCAACGTTTATCGTTCAAGATCAATCGAGATTCTGGAAAATTACTTGGGACGGCGGGACAAAGTCTCGCGACTATTATACCGAAGAACCTGTTGTACGACTGAACAATATCGGCGATGAAGAATGTATGCTTCAATCCTTGTTTGTTTAAATGTTAAAACCAAGAAATCATATTTTGTGTATTATATTTGACTGAAATAAAACAAGAAAGTTGACAATATTGACTAGTTTACTGCTTTCAATCTGTTCTCTGTTTTGACTTAATCATCTTGTCACATGAACTGTTCATTGAAGGCGACGTTGGAAAATTAAAACTGAAGTCTTTGTTTCATGCGTAAACTGTGACGTTTATTTATGGTTTGGAAAATCTACAATGCGTTCATTCGTTGTTCGAATGACACTAATTGCATTAACACAGTTGTAGCAGGTAGGTTGGTATAACAAATGAAAACTTTAATCGTTAAAGAAAAAATTTGTGGAATCTTCGGTAAGAGTAGAATATTCCAAGAAATTGAAAAACTGCACGTTAGGAAGTCCATCGTAAGTCACGAAAGAGGATTCGTCGGAAGTCGTTTGTTTGTTATCGCGCGACCACTTTGTTTGTAGGCGCCGGGAACTGCAAACTCGGCGACACCTCTGAATTTCAGTCAGTCGCGTGACGCATAACAATCCGTGATCGTAGGTGGCTGGTTACGCAGCTTTTTATTCAAGTGCGATTAACATAAAGAACGAAAGAAGCGACGCGTGCCAAGAATCGAAACGGCCCGAACATTTACATCCCCTCCGCGTGCAGGTATAAACGTCGAAATGAATTCCGTTCCGCGGGGAAAATATGAAAATGTAAAATCATCCTGCGGCTCGATTAGAATCCGAACGGAAACCGGTCCCTATAAAATTACCATAGTCCATCTCTCAACCCATATTCTTTTGTACATACATACGCGCGAACCACTGTGAATTTCTAGCGGCATTGTACGATGAAATAGCTAGAACGCCCGAAAAAAATGACAAATCTATTAAAATTGAATTCATCGCATAACATACGAGTCTAGCAAACTCCTCCGTATCTGAATACCCTAACATCCAATGGAGACACAGTACAGATGTACAAAAGACATAGAAACCACGGAAAGAAGAAATATCGTTTCAACCGATCCAACATAGTTCAAATTTAATGAGAAACCTTACACGTACAATTTCGAAGGAAACAAGCTACAAATTTCCATCTTCCCTCCTCTTCCCCCAATTCGCCCCTTCTCTCATCCTAGAACTGCAAAGAAGCGCGATTAAGCGTCACGGAAATCGCAAGAACTTCGATGCGAGCCGGTGTGAATCGCGCAATCACCGTCGTGATTAACGGTCCGATTGATCGCAGCGTCAAATTAATGTTATTTATCTTCGGTTGCACCGACGCCGGCGTATTGACGTCGTGTATTATCGTAATTACTAATTATAGTTTCGAGCCAGCTCGTTAATTAGCCGATCCGTGATCTCCGAGCGAAATGCCAGTATTATTGACTCGCTAAACAGAATAGTCTCGACCATATTTTCAACATATTTGCGCGCGGCGAAGTTCCACGTAGCGCTGCGGCCGACGCACCGCGCGGTGCGCATCGAAATTTTGCCGGCGGACCCGCGTGGTCAGCACTCCTCTCACGTTTTAACGATCATCGGTGATTAAACAGTAATTACCGGCTCCCCACATCCCAACGCTTCTCTCCTCTCCCTCGTAGCACCCCTTCGCGATGCGCCACTCGTATCGAATTATTGTATCGCGGGTGTACAGAACCGGTTCCAGGGAAAATCATAAATTTCACTCACCTCTGTGCCTGTTGGTCTGCTTGTCGAACATCAGCATGGCATCCTCAATCTGCAATTTCAATAAAAACACGTTAATTAGCGTGCTTCCATGCGGCGAGAGGCTTGAATTTAATTTAACGCGTTTCGGCCGCGTAACGCGCGCATTATATTCAGTTTGCCGGGAAACGCGATATTTGGTTGGATACTTCGAGATACGTATTTTTCACATTCTCGTTACGGGTCGGCAGTGATGAACCTACTCGATGCAGTGTTCGCCGAGCGTATCGTGTCTCGACACGAACGATATTCAGTAGGGTTTAAAAGTAAAATCGAAATTTTACGATGCGATCTGGGGAAACGGGAATGAAATTGAATTCATTTACTTCCCTTGGGAATTGGAAGAGGCTGATGATAAGAGTGTGCTCGCGTTCGACGGTTTTTACTGTTTTATAATTGTAGGCAGTCGTGTTTATCGTAAACGAGAAACAGTTATGATTTTACGATCGTTTGCAGTAGACAGAAAATAATATCGATATTAATAAATATATTAATAAATAACAATACCATTAATTTTCTTTTGCAATTCGAAACGAAGCGACTTACGAAAGTTCGTATAAACCACATTCCGACGTACGCTGGTTAGGTAAGTTTCTTGAAATTAAATCGTGCGGGTTCAAGTTGTCAAAAGCAGAAGAAATTTTTGGTCGTTACAGTTCTTTTCGTTGCTCGTGAATAATCCGACGTGGAGAGTGCACTTCAGGCGACATATTCGCCGTTGAATTTTTAACGAAATACTAGTGGCTGGTACAGAAATTGTGCTTTGTCTTATACTTTAGCTGAGGCTGCGGATACAACGTCAAGGGAGATTAAAACTTGGGACAGTTATAAATATATACGGTACCCTGTGAAGGACAAGCCAAAATCGCGAAGCTCCGAACTCGACGTATAAAAGGCCACAATCAAATTACACATTCCTTCTGCTCGTGCAACTTTAAACAAGGAGAGTAGGTTAGTAGAATGAGGTGCATTATAGGATACATAGGATGTAATCGACTATAGATAGAACGATGAAACTCGTTGATTGATCTAATAATAATAATATACCACTGAAATCGTGTCTATAAGCACTATGTCTTTTTCATTAACCTATTCGCGTGATAAGGTAAATTTCATGCCGAATTTTAATATTTTAATATTTCAATTTCAACATGGTTTATTGACATATAATGTATTTGCTTATAATATTACAAGCGACATATTTGCATAATAAATTCATGGTTAATATCACATCTTCGGACATTATAATATTAATGAATCAATAAATTAATTCATAAGTTAGAATGGTACATTCACAATAACTGAGAGTAAAATGCAATTACTGTCAATGTCACAACTATTTGAAGCATAATATCTTGTATATGTGACTAATAGAGTAATTAGTAGAATGCAACGATGACAAACAAATTGGCAGCATGTTAGCCTCACTTGATGAGAAGCAATAAGACATCGATTATCCACTGGTGGAAATTAGTAATCGTTCTTAGACGGCATTATTGGAAAAACAAACCCTTCTGCGTGTTAGGAGCCCGAAGCACCCCATTCAAAGCTTTTATGGATCGTAAACAAGGTTATGGAAACACTGAGAAGAACCTAGAACAACAGAACGAATCTTTTAACAGACAGGAAGTACTGGGTTTACATAGAAATTATTGCAGTCGATTGTTAACCCTAAAAAGACTAATAAAAGGCTTCTCAAGCCTAGTAAGTCCAGACTTCTGAAAATACGTTACTGTTAAAATTATCATTTTACTCTGTTTCACAGTTTAGAAAACATTATAAACACATCAAAAATTCCCACAATTCCTTGCATCATTTCATTACCTCACTCACCAACCGAACATTTAAATGGACAATAGAAACCACTTTATCTTCCTCAAAATATTCCATATCACATTTCTTTCCACTGTTTCAATTCACGAATACCCATGGGACACCAACAGAGTCGCCGTCTCGGACGACGACACGATTACATTAATCACTGGCAATAAATTCCTACGAGTCAGGATTTCGGCCTTTGCTTTCGGTGGTCCCAGAAGGATCCGGTAACGAACGTTCGGCGAACTCTCCCGTGCCGATCCGCAGCGGAAGAGTGAAGCGTGCTCGCCGAATTAGAGATAGGACCCGGCTGTATTCTTCCAGGAAGTACATGTGTGTCGTAAAGCACAGCTGGACCGAGATTTACGAAACGAGCCAGCGCGGAAGGCGTAGCAAGGGGATTGAGAACGACGGGAGTTGCGGCAGGTGGCGGGGGAGGGTCGAGGACGGGGGTGTTGTCGGTAACTGAAGTGCGAGCGGGTACCGGAGAATCGCAAGAGGCGGGAAGGCGACGCGGCTAGTAGGATTTATGGGACAGGAGAAACAATAGGGATTACCTTTACCCTCCTCCCGGCCCTGTCGCCCTACGAGTTCCTCCCTGCTTTGTTCCTTCCTACTTCCTGCGAGAGGACAGCGAGCCCGAGACGGCAGAAGTAGCAGCCGCAGTACCACGTGAAAACGGATCGGGAATTATTCCGACGAGAATGCCATGGAATCTCGATTAGCTGAATTAATCGGGAGACACGGGTAAACGGACAATCGGCTTTTATGGATTATAGAACGTTTACTTACGTCACACTTATTTAACTCTTTAATGCTAACCGTACCGGTACCTTGTATATACTTATTACTGTCGTAACTAGTCGAATAATTGGCCACAAAAGAGAGGCGAACAAGTTAGACGATCCATCTTTCTTAGTGGAAAGAGAAACAAAAGGAGAGACAGAAAGTGATAGGAAGCTAAATGCACGAAAGAAAACGCAGGATTTTTAATCAGATTTTGAAACCGGTTGTTTGAAGGTTCGTGGTATGGTTAGTGTTAATGGTGTTTAAACAGTGTACTCGTCATTGTTTGGTTTCAGTTGCATATGCAAATAAAAAACTTCAGGGAACCACGTATTCGTGTTTGGAAGGTATTAGACGCAGTTTGTCTAATTATCGTCACTTTATTTCCGTTGTATGTAATGATATTTTGTTACACGATAGTTAAAGGTATTGGCCAATTCATTCATTTATTTTGATAAAAGGAATGTATCTTGCAAATGTTAAACAATAAAAAGGGGAAAGGGTCATGCAACAGTGTGGAGCAAAGGTAAATATTAGATTATGCGATTAACATTCGATGGACTTCGTTGCGAGCATAAGGGGACAGTTTCATCCCGTTTGCATCTGTCAACGCAACGTAAATCCTTTTGCCGAGCTTTATGTAATACGTTTCACAATGGAAACATCGGAAGGGCGTGTCTAAAAAGATCGAGGTTCCAATGCAGATCTTCGTGAATGTTGGCCACTGAAAATAAAACCAGTCGGAAGGAAAATGTGTTTCATCGCGTAAACGAGGAACAGTAGGAAAACTACAATGTTTTAAATGAAATCAATGCACACAAAACTAATATACGACCATTATTGCAATTTCATTGATACAATAGGAATATAATACTTAAAGATTATATTCCATGAAAATTAATTTCAACGGTTACTCTCGCCTTCTTTTCTTCTTTCGGTTGAAAAATAGGCACCACGAATACGAGTAGAGATTTTTCTCCATTTCTCACGAGGATCGTTTATTGTTTCTCTAGACAACAATACCGTACACAGCGGTGCCATAATCGTCTGAATTCGTGGTTCAGCCTCTCTCCCTCTCGCTCAGCCCAGGGTTTGTTTGAATATCGTTAAGTGCGTGGCGAATGCAACAGAAGGAACGGGGATTGAAAACAAAACAGAGAAAAGAAGAAGTAAGCAAACAGCCAGCTTCCTCGAGATCCGCTTTGTCGGGGGTATCGAGAGGCCGGGCCGCGTGTAAGTCCTCTTTTTTGATGGAGAATAATTGAAAGCGTGATCGCGTCGTCGCGGAACTGTTTGCATTTGTCCATGAGAAGTAACAGCTACCGGCGGAAGGGAGAAAAAATGAGAACATCAAGGAAGATGACGGTTATTCATCGAAACAACTGACGTCCTGTTGCTTTGAGAGCAAGGAATTGAGTCTTTTAGACGACATTCGTCCCGGTTTTACTTTCAAAAGAAAAAGTAATATTATACGAAGAAAAGGAAAAGAAAACGGGACTGGATACGTAAAGAAAGAGA